TTTTAATTTATAATTTATTGTTCTCCTGTGCGAATTTAGTGCTGGAATATCTTTAAAATCAAAATGTCTCAAACGTTGAGGAAAGAAAATCACAAATTACAGTACACTGATGATATTAACACTAAAATATAATTAATCGATTATCGATTCAAAGCAACAAAGTTATCCCCAGATACACAGCAACAACGTCACCACCAGATTCACTTTAATGTTTCTTTTTTGCTGTAAAATTTAAGATGTATAAAAACTAAAATGTAATTGTTATTTTCCTTAAATATTTACTAAATAATTATGAAACTTTATCCACTCATTCATTTATGTTCGTTTTACAACTATATATGTGGAAATGAAAATCAAAATGAGTTCTTCCAAATAACCGATGCCAGATCGAAGATTTATTAGGCTTCTTTTGAGTAGCTTTTTGCGAAAAGTTTCTTTGCCATACTTACTATTTAACAAGAATTTTAGCAAACGATTTTTGATTTTGGTTAAATAAATCATATATTTCAAAGAAATTTTTATTCATTTTGAAGATAAATCTAATTGATGGAAAGTGAAGTAAAACGAAGTAAAATGAAGTGACGAAGAGAAGGCTTCTAAAGTGAAGTGAAAAACTTCAATTGAAGTGACAGCGGCAGCACTGGTATGCAGACAATAATTTTTACGTGTTATGAATTAACATACATGTCTTTTTGCCCATATGTACATTTATAATTCCTTCGACAGAATATATTGTTAAAAAAAGAATTAAAGCGCTGAGGAGCACATACATTATAGAAAAGAAAAAGGTTGACCTGAGCAAAAAGTCCGTCAGTGAAGCCACCAGTGTATGAAAGCTCTTTATATTGGTATAAAGAAATGGCGTTTCTTAACAGTTTCATTGTTATAAGGAAACCGATAGACAATATTCAAAGAGTAAGTACTTCACTTTCATATTTTTGAATTGTATTTTGATGTGAACTTTAGTACATTAAATTTAAAGTATATAGCAAACACCAACAAATTTGGTTTACTATTTTTCGAGAACCGTTGTGCAAATAATGGAAGAATCATTTTTTCTACGGTTTTGTTTGGTAAGTAACTTAAACGCATTTGGAGTTTTCATATAAAAAAATTAACAAAACCAGATTTGTTAGTATTTGCTATATACTTATGGACTTATTCATAAAAAATAAAGTGGAATAAAAGCGTTATAAAATGACGTTTCATACATTTTTCAGTTTATAAACCTTTTTAAGAGCTACTTTATTTTTCATAAATAAGGGCATTAAACAGCATGTAAGAGGACAATTTGTATCATTCCCACGACAGCTGGTTCTACGTACCGGAATGACTCGGGTTTTACCCGACCAAGGGCTGTTGTTTTGGCGATCTAACCCCGTTTAGGTCGGCGAAGTATCCCAGAAGTCGTTCGTCCATAGGGCTACATTCGCTACGCTTTCTTCTGCTCAGGGCTGGCATCGAGTCAAACCCCGGGCCAGAAACCTACACCTGCTGTGTATGCCAGAGACGACTACACCACAACTCCACCTCAGTCAAGTGCAATGCTTGCGAGGGGTGGAGTCACCTCAGAGTCTGCTCAGGATTACGGACACATCGGCAGGGGACCACGTCGTTTGTGACCCCCTGCTGCTCAAACAGAGCAGCCTCCACGGCTAACCCCAGTCCACCTGAGCAGCCCAACACGAACACCACAGCACAACAACATAACAACACAATATACCATACCACAACCACAACCACGACAGACCACAGAACACACACAACCGCACCTCGACCCACACGCCGCCGCCAACAACTCTTGGTTCCTTCTCCAATCTGCACGGTATGTCAGACCAGGATATTCCGTAATGTGACATCAGTCAAGTACAACGCCTGCCTTGGCTGGTGCCACTTTAGGGCATATTCAGGTCTGCGCACGACGCGAGATTGGACGAGGAACTTCGAGGGCCCGTGTTGCGCTGCACGGTCGCAAACCTCACTGCGACGCCACCCACCACCACCACAGGGCGGCAACAACCTCAGCAGCGCACACAGCCAATGGCGTCACGTCCACATACATCTCTCACACCCCGCATTACCACACGTCTCCCGAACCACATGAAGCTCCTTAAATTTAACTGCAACGGGCTTCAGAGCAAGATCGAGGAGATAACCGTCTTCATGGGAAGGCATGGTGTATTGATAGCTGCGGTTCAAGAGACGAAGTTGCACAGCAATTCAACATTGTTGAATTGTGCCGGGTACAACGTGCACCGTCGAGATCGCGAGGGAGATAATGGTGGTGGCTTAGCGTTCATCACGCACCACACCGTGCAGTATCATCTTATCGAAGCAGACATCGACCGCAGGGATACCACCCTAGAATGTCAGGGCATTGCTATCCGGTCAGGCGATGTTGAGCTCGAAATATTCNGGCCACTCTCATCATCCCAGACATCTGGAAGGTGGGGAGAGTGGTCCCACTGCTCAAACCGGGGAAACCCGCCAACAAAGGAGATTCGTATCTACCGATAACACTCCTTGCCCCGGTAGCGAAGACACTTGAGGCCCTGCTGCTTCCANTGGACCTGTCAAAGGCATTTGACACTGTCAGCCATTCCACGCTACCAGAAGATATAGAGGCTTCCTCTCTCCCACAGAGGCTCAAACGGTGGTCGGCAAATTATCTGAGTGGTCGACACTCGTCGGTAATGTTTAGAGACAAATCGAGCAAGCTTAGGAAAATAAAACAGGGGGTTCCACGGGGTGGTGTCCTTTCCCCGCTACTGTTCAACTTTTATATTTCAAAGCTCCCTCAACCACCAGAGGGAGTCTCGATTGTTTCTTACGCCAACGATTGCTCGATCATGGCGTCTGGGAATGGAATTGATGACTTGTGTTCGAAAGTAAACGGGTATCTCACCGATCTTCTTCACTGCAAAGTGTCTTGCCCTCTCCCCTATACGAAATCCTCTGCTACCTTGTTCACCACCTGGACGAAGGAGGTCAGGCTACCGCTGGGAATTCACGTCGATGACCAATTCCGACGGTGAATAACCCCAAAATACTCGGAGTAACATTCGACAGCCTGCTCTCCTTCTCTGCGCACGCAACCGCTATTGTCAAGAAAGTACAGAGCCGCAACAAGGTCCGCAAGTCGCTATCCGGCAGTACTTGGGGCATAGACAAAGAAACGTTGCTGGCAACATACAAGGCAATAGGCCGGCCGGTTTTAAACTACGCCGGGGACTAGTAGGACGCAGTGGATGAAGCTACAGACAGCACAGAACACCGCACTCAGGACAGCGACTGGATGCCTCCTGATGTCGTCTGAACACCACCTCCATGACGAGACGAAAATGCTCCCAATCAAGGAGCATAACATAATGCAAGCAGTTTCTGGTTGGGAGCCACAGATGTGGCCACCCAAACAGACAGCTGCCTGCAGAGGATCCCTCGGCTAGGCATGTCAGGAGGCATCTATACGAACTGACGGACGAAGTCCAGAGGTTCATTAAGCAGCCTCTGGACCCGTCAGCATACCGACAGGACCTGAACGGCATTCACAGGGACTCAGTCTCGAGTTATGTAGACTCTAGACCTGTGAATGCCGTTCTAGGCACACAATCACCGGACATTGACGTGACGGGGCTTCATCTGCCTCGGGAGACAAGAACCACAATAGCCCAACTTCGCTCTGGCTACTGCAGCAGGTTAAACTCATACCTTAGCAAACTGATTTCGGATGTGCCAAATGAGTGTCCGGCATGCGAGGGACCCCTCACGACTCGAAACATCTCTTCGCATGCCCGGAAAACCCGACAACCCTAACGGCTTTGTCCCTGTGGACCGACCCTGTAGAGGCTGCACTCTTCTTAGGGCTGCCGTTAGTGGAACTTGATGACAACGACTGAGATATCAACCGATCTGGGCTGGGTTGTTGTAGCCGCTACAACAACAACAATTTGTATCAATTTCTTTTTACATAGAAACCATCGGTATGGAATTGGCCAAGCGTTAACTGGCACAAACCAAAAGTGGTATAGCTATAGGTATGAGTGTATATCAGCGGGAATAGATGGTCACCAGTACTAAGTTTTACTTAGCAACCTTCCAAAAGAAAATAGTGCAACTTAATTTAAAAGGAAGGCCCATAAACTGGAATATAATAAAGGCAAAATATGTTAAAGCAAGCGCATTTATTGAAAATTTGTAAAAAATCAATGCGGCCGTTATTACTGCTAGCAGAATACTTTCTTATTATGTGGTACTAAAACTACTCGTCGGTTTGGACCTCTGGAATAACTACGTCGCCAATTGCCTCTCTTTTACGAAGATTCGTCAGTTATTCACATCAAGTATTGAAATGGCGTTCTGGGCTAAAGGCGCTGGCCAAATGCAGGCTTGCTTTGCGCGCCTTGCTGACTTTAATTTGCTTTGATTTACTTTGAAAACTTGTTTGGCTGAATGGCGGCTTGGAACACTGTCAAGGTAACCAGCTGTCTGGTTGAAAAGTCAATGTCTGTTCCCTTATATTAATAATTGTTTTCCTAGAAAACTCTAGAAAATTTATCAAACACTTTCAGATTTATTTTTAAATCAATGCGAAATAATGTTTTTATTTAAGAGAAATGGTAATAATGATACATACATATGTATATCTACATTTACTAAAAAAAACTTTAACTTAAAAAAGCGATTTACTTGAAGAAAAGAGCTATAAGAAATTTTTTCCTGCAAATTTCGTGTGGGGTTGCAACTTTTTACTATAAGATAATGATATGGTAAATATAAATATGAAAACAACGAACCATTTTGATTTCATTTCGAATTGCTTACATTTTCTGTAACTTTTTTTTAAACTAAGTAAGCAAATTTTTGTTTGAATTTATGTTTTTTGAACAGGAACATACCCCTTTGTCAAACGCTTTCAAATAAAACATTTGCCTATTTGAAACTTTGAGGCGCTTAAAGCAAGTGAAGAAAAGCTGCCATTTGGCCAGCCTTTATACGTTTTAGTACATTCCAAATAATTTTTGACACTTCCCGCAGCGAAGCAAGCAAAGCGAGCATGCATTGGGCCAGTACCTTAAGACTTGTGTTTGTTTGCTAAAGAACTCTTTTATAAAATATTTGATTTTTACTAAATTGTAGGATTATATACACTAGCGATCAAAACATGTACGACATTTTATTACTTACAGTAGCATAACTTTTTTAATAATAAGCGGATTACTTTGAAATTTTGAACAATTGGTCCTTATTATCCAATGAATAAAGCCTAGTATACAGAAATTATAAACAGGTGAAGTAATAAAACAGGTTTCTCGCTTTATTCTCTTAACATTCGGCTATCTTATAGAAATTTTTAAAGCCAAATTATCAAATAAGATAGTGTCAAATATTTCTTCTCGCTCTGATTACTACACCTGGTATAATTTCACCATGAGCTTAAACAAAAAACAAGCTATTCACAGCAAAAACACAAGCCAACTCTATTCATTCAGTTTTGAACTTTTCTGTTTTGAGACTTTTGAAGGTTGATACCAACAGGATTGTGGATACTCCCTTGTTTTTAATTGCGATTTTCATACGTCATAGGGTATTGCTCCCTGGACGTGAAACAATTGAAGGGTATCGCCGATCTAAACGGGGTTAGGTTGCCGAAATAACAGCCCTTGGTTGGGTAAAACCCGAGTCATTCCGGTACATAGAACCGGCTGTCGTGGGAATGCACTCAGTTTTGATCGCCAGTGTATATACACTGCCGGAAAAAAGTATTAACACAGAGAATTTTTTACCATATATGCAATAAATTTTATTAAAATAAAGTGCAAGCTTGAAGTAGGTAGGACTTACCGTTGAATTTTGCCAATTTTTTTCACGCAGTTTCTTCCATAAAAAAAATTTTCGAAAATACTTTATATGGATGTGTATTAATATATCGATGGCTGAGTGGACGATCGACCTATCTCGGCAGCCAGTTCGAAAACGCCCTATCTCAGAAAATGTTTCAACAACGCTCTATCTCAAAAAACTTTTCAAAAACTCCCTACTTAAAGCTGATGCCACATAAAAATTTTGCTTCGATTTGCGTGACAGATTCGCTTTGATAGATAAGATGAACTGTATGAAAATGCACAAAGCATTCCACATAGATCATTGAAGCTGCAGCGCGAAGGGAAAAGATGGCCAACTCCCATCTTTTTGCGCGCTTTGACAATCAGCCGGTTTAATATTTATTTTGTTTCATCCGAATTCGAGTTTTCATGTAGAAACATAAAACTTAAAGTACATTGCTGATATTTTTAAAGCTAAATATATAAAATCCACAGCAATTTTGACGAGTAAAAAAGCAGTACAAAATTGTTTTCTTGGCGTTCATTGTGGCATACCTTTTGCGCCTGGCGCTCTGCTGGCAAAGTTACAAATGTCACGCAGAGCCACAAAGTTTTATCTGGCATCAGCTTGAGAATTTGTTTGATAAACGCCCTATCTCACAAATTAGTTGAAGAACGCCCTATCTCAGCTGCCGATTGAAAAACGCCCTACCTCAGCACATTTTCATTTGAGATAGGGAGTTTATGAACCGAATTCTGAGATAGGGCGTTGTTCAACCAAATTCTGAGACAGGGTGTTTTTCAATAAAATTCTGAATTAGGGCGTTTTTCAATCAAAATCTGAAGTAGGGCGCTCTTGAATAGTTTTGTGAGATAGAGCGTTTTCGAACTAACTGCCGAGATAGGTCGATCTTCTACTCAGGCATCGATATACATGTGCCGAGAGGATCGATCGCGAACGGACGTGTTTCTTATCGCTCTGTTAATGGTGTTAAAAAATATAACAATATTGCAAAATGTAAAGTTAATAGTTGCATTATTGGATTAATAGTGTGAAAAATTTAAACCAATAAGCAGAAATTCAAATAAGCAAAATTGACATTTAATAGCGCGTATTTAAGTTGATGTACATACATACNATTGCAAAGCAATGGAGTGCACTAAAATATTCACTGTTCTCTAATAGATTAGGTGAAAAATGCAATATTTTCGCATTTAACAAAATTAAAGCACGTTTTTCGCTGTAAAGTGAACTGCTTTGGCAGTTTCAACTCGTTCTTCTTTTCGCTCTATTCTTTGTTTACTTGTGGTACACAAATGTCAACGCCCAGGACGGCGCAATCTTGTATTCTATCACTCTTGATACGTATGTATATACGTATATTCATCCAAACATAGCGGCTGCTGAGTGAGTGTGATGTCAGAATGCGCGAAATGCCGAAAAGGCGTCAGAGGAGAGTCGGGTGTGTGTTGTCAAGGTGTGTGTGGGAAAGTGTACCATAGAACGCAAGCATGTGCGTCGTTTATTAAACAACCCCTGGACCCGTCAACCTACCGACAGGCCCTGAACGGCATTCACAGGGAATCAGTCTCGAGTTATGTAGACTCCCGCCCTGTGAATGCCGTTCTAGGCACACAACCACCGGACGTGGACGGGACAGAACTTTATCTGCCTCGGGAGACCCGCACTACAATAGCCCAACTTCGCTCTGGCTATTGCAGCAGGCTAAACTCTTACCTGAGCAGAATCAATGAGGATGTGCCCATTCAATGCTCGGCATGTGGAGAGTCGCCACATAAATCTCGGCACCTCTTCACATGCCCTGAGAACCCCACTCAGCTGACGCCCCTGTCTCTATGGACAGATCCTGTGGAAGTCGCACACTTCCTGGGCCTCCCCCTAGCTGAAATGGACGTTGACGGATGAACCGACCCGAGCGGGGCTTAGTAGCCGCTACAACAACAACAACGACATGCTATAAAAGCCCTTGAAATTATGAAATTGTGATCCAGAATTTGCTGGGGCTTTTATACGAATGTGCTTCCCATCTAAAGCACCTAGCGTGTGTGGAAATTGCCAAATATTGTTAAAATCCGAAGCGATTTTCTACCATTCCATTTCGGTTGATGGAACCTATGCAGATATATCTATATATTGTAATGTTACCTTTATACTAGTTTATCTAAGTCATATGTGCTGCCCTGTAGCTGTCACTTTAGATTTTAAGATATACTGAATGCCCTGTACTGAAAGGACGGCCATATTGTCTTTCTTCTTCCGGTGACTGAAAAAACGATCGGACGTGCCAATTCACCAATCAAAGGAATAAAAATCGGAAAATTTAAAGATAATCAAACAGTGCTTTTACATAGCATTTATACCCTCAGATGTGGGGTGCTACCCTCTAACTGTTCAATTAGTATTTTACCGATCGAACAACATCTTACTACATTTTTTTGGAAAAGAAAGTAAACGCGGCCTAGCACGAAAATGCCTAACACACGGGCTACAGGTAAAACGACTGGAGTTAGCAGCGATTTAAAACGTTCCAGCGAAACTGGTGCTAACACCACTTCGACAATTAAGACAACAAAAGTTGGATCAGCCGCCGATATACAAACTGCAACTGCTCCCGCTGCATATAGTGCCTCCGCGGTACCTGCCTCCGCCTCCTCGTTGAATTTACTTCGGCTGTTCCGAATCCTGCTGCACCCGCTGTTCCGAACCCTGCTGCCTCCGCTGCTCCGAATCCTGCTGCACCCGCTGCTCCGAATCCTACTGCCTCTGCCGTTCCTGCCGGTGCAACCTCCGCCGAGTATGTGCTACAGATTCTGCCGCACAGTCTTCCACCGCTGTCGCAACAATTGCCACCTCTGAAATTAACGTTGGGTATAGCGTCACCGAGCCCAACGCTCAAGATTATGTCACCCCCGGCGTTTCAGTGTCCGCCGTTAGCCCCGCTGTTTGCTCCGAAACACCGATAAAAGCGTTCCCCTCTGATGAAATAAATAATCTCCAGGAGCAGCTGAAAATTTTAAAACTTTGACGAGAACTGGCAGATCTTCAAGCCCAAGTCCAACAAACTGAAATTTATCCAGGCGTCCGTGTTGGTAAATACATATATATACTTTGATGAACTCGACGCAGCGGTCCCAAAATTCAGCGGCGACAACCATTATGATATTAATCGATGGTTTTTGCAATTTGAAGACTATGCCGACGCCAATAATTATAACGAAAGGCATAAGTGTCTAGCCCTTAGGCGATGTATGACCGGCACAGCCAAAGAATTTGTACTAAATCAAGACCTTGCAAATTATTCAACGCTGAAGTCGCTGTTGTGTACCATGTTTAGACGCAACAGTTCACGGCAAGAGGTCTTGCGTGAGCTATGCCGTTGCAATGCAGTCAATTACCGCCCAGTCGGATATACCGGAGCAAGAGCTGGTTGATCTGATAATAGATGAAATTCCTGACAGCAGCAACAACATAAGCATCTTGTATGGTGCTAGCACAGTTTGCGATCTAATAAGACGAATGGAGCGTTACGAGCAACGCCGGCAGAACATCGTACAGCGTAAGCCATCAGCCGTCGTGACATCACGCCCAGAAGCAAAGGCCACTGCCTACGAAGATCTTTCAGCCGTGCACTGCTTCAACTGTTCGCGCTACGGGCCCTACCAAAGCAGCTGCCCAAAACCACAACGACCAGCGGGTTCCTGCTTCACTTGCCACCAACTGGGACACATGCGCCGAGATTGTCCAATGAAGAGGAGCCAGTCGACCAATGTTGCAGCCATCTCGCAGACTATAATTATTTAGAACCTAAGCAAGTTGTAAGTGTGGTCTTTTATGAGCACAGTCGAAACAGATGGTCAGGTTTTATAAATATTATTTCTCTTTTCGATTCCGGTAGCTCGATTAGTCTTGTGCAAAAATCGATTGCTGAACGCTTCCTAAAGTTACCACCTATTGCGAAGCCTACGAAGTTTGTTGGAGTCGGTAAAAGAAGAATCCATTCATTTGGCACTATATTGTGTGCAGTCAAATTTTGTGAAATAATTAGAAAAATCAATATAATTGCGGTCCCAGATGAAATATTAACCATACCAGTAATTCTTTGTCAAAACTTTTTGGAAAAATTTAATATTCACTTAATGAAAATAAATCATTCACCTGCTGAATTGAATAGCATAAAACATGTAACCTCGAAGAGAAATGAATTTAATAAAAAGAGAATCATAAACCCTATGCATCTGATTCGATTATTTGTGAAACTGTTGATGGTGATTGTGTTGATGAATCGGTTAGTAATAAGAATAAATTAAACAAAATGTTTGGGAAATGCGTTCAGAGGCATGATGAGAAGACTTAGGAAAAGTGAACGACTATTCAGACAACGAAAATGATTTGTTCGGTTCGGCAGTGATGGAAATAGCTGCTATTGATGAAAGTGTAGTCCAATCTGAAATAGATATAGGGCCCGGTTTAAATAAACGTGAACAAGATGCGGTAATGCGAATTCTGGCTAGTGAATATTTATCTCCTACCTTGATTGAAAAGAGGCCCTATGACTATAGGATGACAATCCGAACGACTGATAATACCCCATTTTATTGTTTGCCAAGGCGATTATCCTTCAAGGATAAGGAGGAAGTACAGAAGATAACTGACGATCTCATTGAGCGTCAAATCATACGCCCTAGCAGCTGTCGTTTTGGTAAAAAAGAGGAATGGTGAAACCCGTATGTGCATCGATTATAGGGCCCTTAATAAGAAAACAATTCGGGACAACTTCCCACTGCCTCTAATAGAGGACTACTTTGATTATATGTCAGGGAAAAAGTGGTTTGCCCTTCTGGACTTAAAGGACGGGTTTAATCAATTATCAATGGAAGAGAGTTCCATTCCGCTGACGTCTTTTGTAACACCACATGGACAATTCGAATATCTTAGGATGCCATTCGGGCTTAAGAACGCGCCAGCCAATTTGAAGCGATTTGTCTATAATATCTTTCGAGACCTGATAGATGCAAAGGAAGTCTGTGTGAATATCGATGATATACTAATAGCTTCTGACAACTTTGAATGCCATATCAAAACCCTTAGGAAAGTGCTTAGGAGAGTGTATGAGAAAAATTTGGAGCTAAAGATTAGAAAGTGCAAGTTTTGCTACAACGCAATTGAATATTTAGGTTACCGGGTCACTCCATCGGGAATACAACCATCGGAAACCCACATTAAAGCAATCTCGAATTACCCAGTCCCAAAGAATCAAAAGGAGCTTCGTTCTTGTATTGGTTTGTTTTCCTACTTCCGAAAATTCGTACCATCCTTTTCGAAGATTGCTAAGCCACTTTTAGATTTACTTCGCAAAGACGCCGAGTTCATATTCTCAGAACATTGTTTAAAAGCCTTTAAGGATTTAAAGGGTTTTTTAGTTAGTGCACCGCTGTTGGCAATTTATGACCGCAACCGTGAAACACAACTTCATTGCGATGCAAGCAGCCTAGGTTTTGGGTCTGTTCTACTACAAAAGCAAGATGATGGCAAATTTCATCCAATTGCATATTTTTCGAAGACAACTACACCAGCAGAGTCGAGGTACCATAGCTTCGAATTGGAAACATTATCAATCATTTATGCTCTTCTTAGAGGGTGTGCCATTTAAAATCATTACAGATTGTAACTCTTTAACTATGACCTTGAACAAAAAGCAAATTAATCCACGGATAGCCCGATGGGCACTAGAATTGGAAAACTTTGACTACTCTGTACAGCATAGGGTTGGAACCAACCTTGGTCATGTAGATGCTCTCAGTAGAAGCCCATTGCCAGAAAAGAAATACGACTGTATTAATTCAATCCTGAAGTACGAAACAATTGATACTGCAAGCCCTCGGGGACTCGATCCTCTAAAGTCTCAGTTTTTATCCAGCTATAAGGGTTGGACAAGCAATAAAAGTAAATGCGAAGTTGTAGCTGCCGTAGATGATGTGGATATTCAAATCCAAATTTCACAGAATCGGGATGAGAAGCTCAGGGAACTTATGAATAAATTAGAAAAAGGGGAAGTTATAGGATATGAACTCGGGGATGGATTGGTATGTCGAAGGAATGGGGGAAGAATTATGCTTTGTGATCCTTCAGGGCTGGAAGAAAATGTAATCCGCACAATACACGAGAAAATTGGTCATTTAGGCACAGAAAAATGCTACAATCAAATACGCAAAACCTATGGGTTCGAAAATATGAGGGATAAAATTAACTGGTTCATTCAGAACTGCATTAAGTGCATTATATATTCGGCACCAGCTCGTTCCAATGAGCATAACATGTTTAGCATTCCTAAAGAACCAATACCATTCGATACTCTCCATTTGGATCACTTTGGTCCTCTGCCAGCAATTAAGTCGAAACGTAAACATATACTAGTCATTATAGAAGCATTCACGAAATTTGTCAAACTGTATGCTGTGAATTCTACAAGTACAAAAGAAGTCTGTTGCTCACTAGATAAGTATTTCAACTACTAAAGTCGTCCACGACGTATTATCACTGACCACGGCACCTGTTTCACATCCCTTGAGTTCAGTGAGTATCTGTTGAAAAGAAATATAGGTCATGTGAAGGTTGCAGTCGCCTCACCGCAGGCAAATGGTCAGGCCGAGAGAGTCAACCGAGTTCTTAAAGTAATGTTGAGTAAACTCTCTGAGCGTGTAGAACATGCTGATTGGACCGTGAAACTGTCTCAGATAGAATATGCTTTAAATAATACTGTCCACAGTACAACCAAATACACACCAAGTGATTTGCTTTTTGGTGTAAGCCAGCGGGGCTGTATTGTAGACGAATTTACAGAATGCCTAGAAAGCAAATTGTTGGATGAAATCACTAGGGACCTTGAGGGAAGCCGACAGAACGCACTTAGGAATATCGAGCGCTCGCAAGAGTACAATCACCAATACTTTTTAAAACACAGTGTCCCCGCAAATACATACTCGATAGGAGGCTATGCAGTAATTAGGCATGTTGATACCACAGTTGGAACTAATAAGAAACTTATACAGAAGAATAGGGGCCCATATGTTATACACAAAGTTTTGCCAAATGACTGTTACGTTATAAGGGAAATAGAGAATTGCCAACTGACGCATTTACCATACGATGGTATTGTTGAGGCTATGAAAATTCGTAAATGGTGCTCGCCAAATAACGATCAGTCACCAACAGCAATAATAATAATAATCCCAATGGGTTTTACCCTCCATTCCCGGCCATCCGCACGAGGGGCGCATTCCGCATGACGTACGGAACCAGTATTTTCAATTTTTGCGCCGAGTCACGATAGCCAGGGGTTTGTTAACAGGCCTATTCTGCTGTAACCGAACATTTTGTAACAAGCTAATTTTGTTACCAACAATTGTCCCCACTTCTTGCAACCGCAATTCTATTTACCTTGGTAATGATTTAATTTATTCAGCAATTCAGCTATGGAGTTTTGTGTAAATTCTGGTGTTGCATATTTCACGGGGAAATATTTTGGTACCTGCTCATGAGATGGTAACAAAATTTAATGGGTACAAGAGTGTGGAGAATACGAAAACCGTTTAAAAATTGACAGTAACTTTACTAACCGGTAACAAAATTTTTGTTACCAACGCAGAATAGGCCTGTAAGTGTCAAGATCTAAAACTGTTCAGCTACAGTAGGGATGCACAGCAGAGGTGCACGCAATCGACGTCGCGGGCAAACTGTGTCACGTTCGTGCGTTATTTAATAAAATTCACACTGTTTATTTTAAAGTAAGTCTTTTATTTTCTTATAACCAACTATCAGCTCAAACGCACAATGTTCTTCTTGCTTCAGCTATGTATCTAATGACCGATGAATGATAATTCTCTTAAACGTAATGGCGGTGCCTCAGTGTTGCCACAGTGTCAAGATTAATATATTATTTAATATAAGTCCACCTTGAAACACATTACACGCTTTTTTTTTTTTTTTTTTTTTTTTTTTTTTTTTTTTTTTTTTTTTTTTTTTTTTTTTTTTTTTTTTTTTTTTTTTTTTTTTTTTTTTTTTTTTT